GTAGCGCGTACTCCAGTTTTGTGCCACTTGGGTCGTGTAGGACTATTCCGGCTCCGCTGCCCTGCTGGTTCGAGGAGCCATCTACGTGAAGGATCTAGGGCTCCTCATCCCAGCTCGGGCTTGGCCAAACTTGGAGAGATGCTACACTGGTTGCTACCTCACGAGGCTCGGACTCGACCGGCCTGGGAGCTTCGGTCTCACCCGAGTTGGGAGCCTCGTGCTCAACCGGCCTGGGGGCTTTAGAGCTGAATGTGCATTCGGCGATGAAATCTGCTAAGGCTTGGGCCTTAATGGTAGTTCGCGGCTTGTACCGGAGGTCGTACTCGCTGAGCTCAACGGCCCACTTTGTCAGCTGACCAGAGACATCAGGCTTAAGTAAGACTTGCCTCAGAGGTTTGTTGGTGAGAACGATAACAGTGTGAGCCTGGAAGTACGGGCGGAGCTTCCGAGCTGCGATTACTAGTGCATATGCTAGCTTTTCTATCTTTGGGTATCTCGTCTCTGCTCCCTGAAATGCTTTACTAACATAATAGATGGGTCGTTGAGCCCGATCTACCTCTTTTATTAGTACCGTACTGACCACTTTGTCACTTGCCGAGAGGTACAGTCCTAAAACATCGCCCTCCTTGGGCCAGGTTAAGATCGGTACCCTAGCGAGGTATTTCTTGAGCTCGTCAAACGCAAACTGACAGTCTTGGGTCCACTCGAACCCTTTGCTCTTGATTGCCTTAAAGAACTGCAGACAGCGGTCCGCCGATTTGGACATGAAGCGGCTCAGGGCGGCTATGCGGCCATTCAACCTCTGAACCTCCTTCAACTTACGGGGTGGTCTCATGTCTAAGATGGCCTTAATCTTATCCGGATTGGCTTCAATGCCACGCTGGTTAACGATGTATCCTAAGAACTTGCCCGAGGTCATACCAAATACACATTTGTTTGGGTTCAGTCTCATATTAAAGTTACGCAGAATTTCAAAAACAAAATGCAAGTCTTGTATTAATTCATGCGAGAATTGAGTTTTGACGACCATGTCGTCTACATAGCATTCTACTTTTCCTCCAATTATCGGCGCAAACAATTTATTTACAAGCCTTTGAAAGGTTGCTCCTGCGTTTTTCAACCCGATGCGCATGACCTTGTAACAGTACAGGGCGAATTCCGTGATGAAGGCAGTCTTTTCTTCGTCCATCGGGTCCATCTTGATTTGGTTATAGCCCGAATAGGCATCCAATAAACTTAGCAATTCATGCCTCGAGGTCGCGTCCACCAAACAGTCAATTATGGGGAGCGGGAAGCAGTCTTTCGGGCAAGCCCGGTTCAGGTCGGTGTAGTCGACGCACATGCGCCACTTACCGTTTGCTTTCTTTACCAGGACGGGGTTGGCTACCCAGCTCGGGTAGTGGACTTCTCTTATGAAGTCAGCTGCGAGGAGCTTCTCGACCTCCTCGTCGACCTCTTTCCACCGCTCCGGGGCTAGGTTGCGTTTCTTCTGTCTTACGGGCCTAACTACAGGGTCAGTATTCAGCTTGTGAGTTATAAGGTCGGGGTCTATACTGGGCATCTCCGCCGCGGACCATGCAAAAATATCTAAATTTTGAAGTAAGAAGCTTACCAGTTCGGATCGTAGGGGCTCCTAGACGGAAGCGCCGATTTGAAGCGTCCGAGCTGGGTCAGTTGCTGAGGTCGGGACCGCAACAGTTTCTTTCGTGGGCGCGGCTCGCTCTTCGCCTTGCTCCGTGGGTCGCTCCAATTCGAGGTTGTCGGCCACCTTGGTTTTCCCCTTCAGAGCGGCAACATAGCACTTGCGGGACTCGAGCCGGTCACCCAGCGCTACTCCCACACCGAAGTCTATTGGGAACTTCATAACCAAATGGTAAGTGGAGACCACCGCCCGTAGGACATGGGTGATTGGTCGACCTATTATGGCATTGTAGGGGGAGGGGGTCGCGACCACCAGGAAGTCGTGTTTGAAACTGACCACACAAGGTCATGTGCCAACTTCTACAGGTACTATTATTTTCCAAAGGGGACGGACTTCTTCTCCACTGAAGCCCACCAAAGGAGTGTCTGTAGGCTTCAGGTCACTTCTCTGCAACTGAAGTTGGTCGAACACAGCTTTGAAAAGAATGTCGGCTGAGCTACCTGAGTCAACGAGTATGCGCCTGACCTCGAAATCGTTGATTCATTAGTTTTATTACGAGTGCATCATCGTGGGGATAGTGGACCCCCCGCGCATCGTCTTCCATGAAGAAAATCGGGTCTCTCGTCTTCGATCGCTTTGGGGGGTTCTGCTCTTCCCGGGTGGCCTCACGAACTGACGTCCGAGTTGCTGTTGAAGTGCAACCCGCAACGATCGAACCTCCCACTATCATGTGGATGGTCCCCCGAATTGGCCTCTCCTCCGGAGGCTGCCTCTGCGACTGTTCGGCCGGCTTGCTACTGGACTCGGGAGCATCCTTACCATGCTCCCCTTGCCGACCTATCTTATTATTATGATTATTATTATTTTGTACAAAGTTTCTCAAATATCCGCGACGGATGAGCTCCTCTATCTCGTTGCGGAGGTTTTTACAACTCTCGGTATTGTGACCGTGATCTTTGTGAAAACTGCAATACAGACTTATTTCTTTCATTGGGATTCCCCCTCAAACGGGGTGGCCACTTCACGTACGGGGCGTCCTTGATCGCCATCAGGATTTCGGCCCGCTTCGCGTTCAGTGGAGTGTAATCAGCTCAATCCGCTGCAGGAGCTCGGAACAATTGACCCGACTTTGCCCCCCGAACTATTTCCTTTTTCTTTCGGCTGTCCCCTTGACTGGAAGGCTCTCCTTCCCTCTTTTTTTTTTCGGGTGCACCCTCGCCCTTCTGGTTGATCTCCTCTTCGGTGGTTATGAACTTGTCCGCAAGATTCAGAAACTCGTTTAAGGTCACAGGCTGGTTGACGACCATGTGCCATTTGAACTCTTTGTGTGTCACGCCCTTCTTGGCTGCTGCAAGGCGTATGGCGGGGTCCAGGTGCAGTATCTGCATACAGGCATCGTTGAACCGTTTGATATAGCCCCGGATGGACTCTCCTTCTCTCTGCACTATGCTGAGGAGGCTTTCTTTAGTTCACGGGCACCGTTTACTGGTGACGAAGTGGGACGTGAAGGTTTGTGCGAATTGCGCCCAACTTCTTATCGACCCAGGTGCCAAATTCCGATACCACGTGCGGGCGGCTCCTCTAAAAGTGGTGGAGAAGGTCACGCACATGCATGACTCACTGTCTCTCGCCAGGTGCATCTGTGACTGAAAGGCATCTACATGATCATTCGGGTCAAACGACCCATCGTACTTGTCAAGAGGGGGGAGTTTGAAATCTTTGGGCATCGGGACTGCCAAGAGTTTGGAAGACAGGGGGGATGGAACTGAGAGGAGGGGAGCTTTGACCTCAGCCGAGCTTACTTTTTCTTTGCCCATGAGCTCGGGCAAATCGCGGGTGATGGATCGGCGACCTCGGCGATGGCGTCTTTGCCTCTTGGTGAGCTCGACGTTCGTGTTGCTCACCTCTGCGCTGTCCGTAATGGTTTGCGCAGGAAGTAGCCCGGTCTACTGGTGATGGCTGTAGACAGAGGGGTCCTGCTTGGAGTCTGTTGCCAGGATCTCAAACTGGTTTTCAATGATCGGGGTTCCAAACTTCGACTATCGAGGTGATGTAGACCTGTCGAGTCGAGGTCCTCCTGACTTGTCCACTCGCGGCGAGATCGGGGTAGCCGGTTATCTGTGCTTTTGCCATTTGTGAGCATACTTTATTTGGAATGAGGAAGAAGGACATGGTATAGGTAGAGATGGCAACAATTATAGATCTAAAGGACTTCCTTCCCTCCTTGGGATAGAAGCAATTCATGCCACCTAGTTGTTTTTTGCATAATTTATACCAATTAAATGAGAAAATATGTTATTTTTTGTTCTATCAATGGCAGTTGGGAGTCTTAAATAAATAGAAGGGTTATATATATATTTTTTCATTCTTAGACTCCTAGCCATCATCTTCTACGATATAAGATGCATATTTTTGCTAAAGAAAATCTAAGATTTCTCATAATTTACTTCTTGGCCTGAAGCCCCCTCATACCGGTGCATTGTTTCCAAAAAAAAATGGCCTTCAATAGGGTCTACCCTAGCAAGGTTCTAAATATCAACATGGGCCGATACACCATGTGTCGGTGCTTTTTTTATGTTTGACTTTTTTTCTCCAATATTGGTTCAGAGGGACTGGTTTAAGGCTCGACTACCCTCTGGACCATTAGTTGACTCAATACAATCCCTGTAGGGGCATATTGGGAAGCCACTATTACTATATGTATTGGCCGATATGGGCCGATACATGTCAATACTTTGAATCTTGTACCCTAGTGAATAAATATTTATCATATGCAAAAAAAAAGTGAAATCATGGATAGTCTCTTGTCAGCCTAATACCTGCGATTTTCTTATGCAATATATACAAGATTATGGCGGTTAGCTGGCAAAGCTTTAGAGCAATACAAGAAGAGATAGGGGATCACCATTAAACACTTGTTTATTTCCAAAAAACTCATGCCAAAAGCAATATCCATCCAAACAAAAAATGCTTTATGGTTCAAGCTTTTATATCCTAAAAAACACAAAAACACAAAAGTAAAAGCTCATCCAAAAAAACTTAAATTCCTCAAGTTTATGAGAAACAAAATTAGAAAAATTAACTTAAATATGCATGGTGAACAAAAAATCAACACCGTAAAAAAAACACCGTAGTGTATCAGGTAATAGCCTTGTCTTTTATTTAAAGGCACAAAACCTTTTGTAACAATGAGTGGGCATTTGGTCTAGTGGTATGATTCTCGCTTAGGGTGCGAGAGGTCCCGAGTTCAATTCTCGGAATGCCCCTTATTTTCGTAATCATATTTATCTTTTTTAATTATATCGTAACAGCACATTCCAACCGTGCATTAGGAACATATCTCCCCAATCTGCGAAATCGCTTTTGATATCTTCCCCTAATACCCCCTTTACCGCTATAGCATTCTCTGAGGTTTAAAGGCTTAAAAGGTCGTCTTCTTCTGCCGAACCTGCAAATCATCAATGTCGATTTCTCAGGAGCTATACCCTAGTCAGGATGACCTGCTCTATGAAGAAGAAATTCTCAGGAATCCTTTCAGCTTGAAGTTATGGTGGAGGTACTTAATCGCACGGAGCGAAGCTCCATTCAAGAAGCGAGCCGTAATCTACGAGAGAGCTCTAAAAGCTCTACCCGGGAGTTACAAGCTCTGGTACGCTTACCTTCGAGAGCGACTCGAAATCGTTCGAAATCTTCCAATCACCCATTCCCAGTACGAAACCCTCAACAACACATTCGAACGAGCTCTTGTCACAATGCACAAGATGCCTCGGATCTGGGTCATGTACCTTCAAAGCTTGACGGAACAGAAGCTCCTCACTCGAACACGTCGCACCTTCGATAGAGCTCTTTGTGCTCTCCCTGTCACCCAGCACGACCGAATTTGGGAGCCCTACCTTGTATTTGTCAGCCAGAAGGGCGTCCCGATTGACACATCGCTTAGGGTTTATCGCCGCTACTTGAAATTCGATCCAACACACATTGAGGATTTCATTGAATTTCTTATCAATTCTGAAAAATGGCAGGAGGCGGCGGAGAGGTTAGCTGGGGTGTTGAATGATCCTCAGTTTTACTCGATTAAGGGCAAGACAAAGCACCAGTTGTGGCTCGAGCTCTGTGACTTGCTTGTCAATCATGCCACCGAGGTTTCAGGGTTGAAGGTGGATGCGATAATTCGCGGCGGGATTAGGAAGTTCACGGATGAGGTTGGGCGGCTATGGACTTCCCTCGCAGACTATTATATTCGGAGAGGACTCCCTGAGAAGGCAAGGGATATTTTCGAGGAGGGATTGATGACTGTGGTCACTGTGAGAGATTTTAGTGTGATATTTGATGCTTACTCTCGGTTTGAAGAGAGTATGATTGCTTATGTGATGGAAAGCTTGGAAGAGTTAGGCATTAGCGAGGACCCTGCTGTCGACGAGGGAGATGGTGGTGATGCATTTGATAGTGATGTGCGACTTGATGACAAGCTTTCGAAGCACAAGTTTGAGGAAAAGATTTTTCGTGGGTTTTGGCTTAAGGACAAGTATGATGTCGATTTGCGGTTGGCTCGATTGGAGCATCTCATGGATAGAAGGCCCGAGCTTGCTAACAGTGTTCTTCTCCGGCAGAATCCCCACAATGTTGAACAGTGGCATCGAAGGGTGAAGCTTTTTGAGGGTAATCCAACTAAGCAGATACTGACTTACACAGAAGCTGTGAGGACCGTGGACCCCATGAAAGCTGTTGGGAAACCTCATACATTGTGGGTTGCTTTTGCTAAGCTGTACGAGAACCATAAGGATGTTGCTAATGCTAGAGTCATTTTTGACAAGGCTGTACAAGTCAACTACAAAACGGTGGATAATCTAGCCAGTGTTTGGTGTGAATGGGCCGAAATGGAACTGAGACACAAGAACTTTAAAGGGGCATTAGAGCTAATGAAGCGTGCCACTGCAGAACCCACAGTTGAGGTCAAACGGAGAGGTATGGTGGTAAACTGTTGTTCTTTTTCCCTTGTACGGGTCAAATTCAATACTTATTGGTAGGTTGTACTTGTGTTGTTGCAAGCGTTCTTAGGTTAAATCTGAGTACTCTGTTAGGTTTCTACAAACGCTGTATAACTTGGACGAGAGATACACTCCATTGCTTGTTGCTGAAGTTAAACAACAGCTGCAAGTGGAGGTGTCCATTAGGTTACCGAAACATATTTTAGGTTGCCTTGCTAGAGCAACTGCAAGAGAATGGAGGGTGTACTGGTGGCAAGAAAACTGCTGTGTTTTGCAGTTGCTCAATGATTCTGTGCTAAGTGCTCATCCTTACCTACTTCCTCATCTTTGCTATACTAATTTTTTTTTATTTTATTTTTGGTCATTTCAACATGCAACTATATTAAGTAAGAAAAGGAATGGTATTTTTTTTGATTGGTAACAATAAAAAGATTTTATTAATAAATATACAGGATATACAGATTTACATGACCGGGAGGTTGGGCAGTCTTGGGTAGGAGGTACAGCAGTCTGGTGCTCTATGTTTAGAAGGAATCTAAATGACTGGGAGGTTGGACAGTGGATGGAACTGATGCAGCAAATCACTGGCATTATACCTGATAATATGAGTAGGGACAAGAGAATCTGGAAATGATTTTGTTGAGGTGGAGATGGAGGACTTCCCTTAAGCTCAGGAAGAAAGGGACTTATTTGTAAATTGGACTTAGAAAAGGCTTATGATTTTGTTGGTTGGGGTTTCTTGATGGAAGTAATGAAAAATTTTGGGTTTGGTGAAAGATGGTGCAAGTGGATCTTAGGATGTATTAGGATGTCATTACTCAATTTTGGTTAATGGAATTGAGGTTGATCATTTCCAAGCTATTAGGGGTATTAGGCAAGGGGACCCCCTCTCTCCTTTCTTGTTTACTTTGATTGTAGAAGTTCTTGGGAGATTAATCGCTAGGGCTGATGTTAGGAATCTAGTGAGGGCAGTGTTTTAAAAGCGCAAGGTGTAGGGGCCAATTTGCGCTTGAGGCGCAAGGCATGCGCCTTTTTGAAGCAAGGTGCACAAATACAAAAAAAAATAAAAAAGTTAGAAAATTCAAAAAAAACCAAAAAATTCTAAAAAAGCAAAAAGTAAAAATAGTAAACATAATATGAATAAAAAAATAAACTTAAATTTTAAAATTAAAATACATAAACATAACATGTAAAACGTATTCAAATGAAAATAAAAAAAAATAAAATCAAACATATAAAACATTTTCAAGCATGTAAAACCCACAACCTCTTTTTTTCCTCAATTGCATTAATTCAAGTAGCTAATGTGATGTAAAACACATTACATTTTTGATTCTACGAGCCACTTTTGTGCCATGCCCCTCGAGGCGAGCTCAAACAAGTCCATGTTAGGGTCTTAAATTCTTAATTTTCACACAAAAGATAATGACTTTATAATTTTAATTTCCTTTTAAGAAGATATTTTATTAAGATGAATGAATGAACAACATTAGAGAATAAGAGGTTCTTGGCCCAACCGCTAGGTTAAAAAAAAGCGTAATATTTTCAAAAGGTGCACGCTTGGGCTAAGGCGCAAGGTGCACCGGGCGCATGCCTAGGCGCACTAGGCGTGTGCCTTTTGAAAGTGTTGCGCCTAGGACCTGGTCGAGGCACCTACTATAAAATTCGCCTCACCTGTGTGCCTATGTGCACCTTTTAAATCACTGAGTGAGGGGTTGGAGAGTTGGTAGAGAGGAGATACTATCACCCACCTCCAATTTGTTGATGATACAGTTTTGTTCTGTAATGGAAATGACTTGAGATAGGTGAAAAGCTTAAAGATGATAGTCTTGATTTTTGAGAAAATGTCAAATTTCAAAGTGAATTGAGATAAAAGCTGCCTCGTGGGATTGAACATGGAAGAGATGGGCACATTACTAAAGGAGCTGAAGTGTTGAAGTGTAAGGCAGGTACTTTGCCCTTGAACTATTTGGGTTTATCCCTGGGGGATAATCTGGGGAGAAGTCAATTTTGGAACCTGGTTGTGGAAAGGTTTTCAAAAAGATTGGCGTCGTGGAAGAAGTGTTACCTATCTTTAAGGGGTAGGAAGTAGGATAACATTGATTAGGTCCACCCTCGCAAATTTGCCAGTTTATTTTTTTGTCTGTTTTCAGGGTTCCAGGAGGGATGAGCAAGCAACTAGAAAAAAATGATGAGAGATTTTTTGTGGGAGCCAAGGGAGGAGAGAAAAAGGCCATAGAGTTAGTTGGGAGATGGTTAAAAGAAGTAAGAAATTCAGAGGGCTAGGTTTAGGGAATATTCAGGAGAGGAATGTGGCTCTGCCTGCAAAATGGCTTTGGAGGTTGCCAATTGATAGGGACATGTTATTGGTGAAAGTGATTATTAGTATTCATGGTCTTGCGACTGATGGTTGGGATGCTGGTGTGTTGGCTAGGGCTACAAGAGCTTCCCCTTGGAAGTCTATTCATGCCATCCTTCCTTTGTTTTTGCCTTTGTTAGGTATAACCGTATAACCCTTGCTCCGGTAATACTGTTAAATTTTGGGAGCACTTATGGTTCGGTAATGCAACTCTCAAAGAGCAATTTCCCTCAATTTTTGCAATTTCAAACCGGTAGAATGAATTTCCTCATTTATTAACCATTCCAATTCAACCTCTGGTTTTGTTTGGGACTTGGGCCTTAGGAGGGCTTAGAGATTGTGAGGCCAACAATGTCATTACCTTGATACAAAGGCTTGAGAGTGTATTTGGACCCTTCAAGAAGGGATTGCAGAATCTGGACTCTATCCCTATTGGGTAATTTTTCTTGTGCTTCTTTCTTCCTATCCCTAATATAGAGTAATGATAGCCAGGGCCAACTTTTCCCAGTTAATGAGGTTTGGAGTAAGCTTATTTCACCTAGGATTGGTGGCTTTTGTTGGGAAGTGATTCTTGGTAGGGTTATACTTGTGACTTGCTCCAATGGAAAAGACCTAACTGTTGCTTATCTCCTCATTGGTGTCTTCTTTGTAAGGCTAATGGTGAGTCTTCCCGTCATTTATTAATATCTTGTCCTTTTGGTCTTCCAATTTGGGATTGGTTTCTTTCCTTATTTGGGTGTAGGTGGAATCCCCCATCAGATGTACAAAACCTATTCTTCCCCACCTTTGTTAGATGGAAGAAAAGAAGAGGCAAGATCTTGTGGAAGTGTACGAGAGCTGCTGTGTGCTGGACAGTTTGGGAAGAATAAAATCAAAGATTATTTGTAGAAAAGGAAAGAAATGGGGAAGCCCTCATTGAAGCAATTACAATTGGAGTGTTCCATTGGGTAAATACTCTGAAGTTATTTGCAGGAGTTTCTGCTGCTGATCTGATGAGAAAGTGGGGGGAAGTGGCTGACTCTGCTCCACCAAAAACTGTAATTAAACCATCCTGGACCCCTCCATCCAATGGCTTTATCAAATTGAATTTTGATGGTAGTAGTGAGGGTAACCCTGGACCTTCTGGCATTGGGGGGGGGTTCAGAGATGAGGGAGGCACTATTAGTACTATATTTTTCTGGCCCTATTGATGTAGGTGACTCACTGAGAGCTGAAACCCTTGCTGTGATGGAAGGAATTCAGAAAGCCAAGGAGTTAAATGTTTCCAAACTGATAAGCTCATGATCGGTTGACTCCAAAAGGAGGAGGAGATGGATTGGTGGGAGTATATAAATGAAAAAAGAAAGTTCAGAGGCTTGGCTCAAGGAATGAAAGTTCAATTTAAATGGATTAAGAGAGATGCCAATAGCTTGGCTGATGCTTTGGCTAAGCAAGGGGTGGGAAGAAACGACTTGTTCTGGGCTATGCTGTAATGTTTTCTTGTTTTTTGGGGGAGTGGGGGCTAAGAGAGTTTGGCTCCCCTCTCCTCATTGTTTCTGCTTATTTATTTCTTAATGAAATTCATTCAGTTATTGAAAAAAAAACAAAAAAGAAAAGTGTGGAATACTGTGGTTATTGATAAAAAAAAGTGTGGAATACTGCAGCCCCTCCAAAAGCTGCTTTTTTATTATGTGTGGCAGTGTTGGATAAGTTTTTGACGGCGGATGTATTGGCTAGGAGAGGCCTCAGTGTGTTGCCTAGAAGGTGTATAATGTGTGGGGAAGCTTCTGAAGATTCAAACCATTTACTGATCCATTGTAGAGTTGCATGAAACCTATGGGCAAGGTTTTTGGGACTGTTTGAAGCTCAGCTTTGTTTTCCAGAAAATTTATTAGCGGTACTACGGGGTTGGCAGCTGAAAGGTCTCTCTAAAGAAGGCATGGTTATTTGGGGAGTAGGACCAGCTATAGTGGTTTGACAATATGGATGGAAAGAAATAAAAGTCTGTTTGAAAATAAGTTTATTATGGAGGAAATTTTACTGAAAGAATTTTGGGGTAGGTTGTGTTCATGGGTAGGAACACATAGATTATTCAGTAGCTCTTTTTGTATCTATGCACACCAAATATACAGAATAGAAGATGCACAGTTCTGTTTGGGCACTGCACTGCTCTTTGTTGTGCAGATCTGGATTGCTTTTTGTGTATTATAATACTTTACCTTTTTCTCAAAAAGTAATAACTAAAGATAGAGAAAAACCACTTCAAAATATTAGATACAAACAGGTAGAAGATTAATAAATGAAAAGTGTATTCACCACTTGCATTGCAAGAAGGCATTTGTGGGGGTAACATAGTCCAATCAGGTCTGTTGATTTTCAAGTGATACACCTCCCGAATGAAAACCCATATTTTGGTGGAACTGACCTATTCCAATGCCCTTTACCGGAAAAGCTTGTGAAGCCCTTTATTTTTGATCATTTGCTGCACTTGCTTTATGCAGGTATTTTTTTATTGATTATTCTACTTGCACCTAATCACTCTCACATTATTGCTTGTTGCAGTCATTTGTTGTCTACACACATGACCAGACCATCTCAGTTAATTTTCCTTCATCCTGTCATGAGCTACTCCTAGTCCCAAGTCTTCACTATTGTGTTCATATCCAATTCTGTTCTTTCTAGTCTTGCTACTCATCCATCTCTTACACTAATTTGTTGAATATGTTGTTTCTTGACGGCACAATGTGCTGTCCTATATGGGAGTGTTATTCTTATTCCTGTCTTCTAGAATTATCGCTGCTGTACATTTTTTGTTCACACTAATACAATGATACTTTTATCTTTTCTCAAAAAAAAAAAAAACTGTGTCCTAATTTATGAGCAACATCCTAATTAAGATAAGGCCATTACCAAATTTAGGCCCTAGCCATCTGGGGTCTTGGGAAGAAAGGAATGCAAGAATTTTTTCAGGTAAGGAAAGAACTAGATAGGTAGTCAAAGAAACAATAATGGTGGGAATGATACAGTGGGTAAAATCTATGGAGTACCATAAATCCACTACAAACCCTATTTAGTCTGCCATTGAATGATTACATAAACTTAAATTTTGATGGAAGCCGTACAGGTAACCTAGGCCCCTCTGGTATTGGAGGAGTGTTTAGAGACAATGAAGGCAGAATTGTTGTCCTATTTTTGGGCCCAATTGGAGTAGGACATTCGTTAAGGGCTGAGGTGTTGGCTGTCATGGGGGACTGCAAAAGGCAAAGGACATGAGTATAAGAAAGCTGATTATGGAAGACAATTCAAAGTTGGTAGTGGAGTGGCTGCAGAAGGAAGAAAAAAGGTTTTTAACAATGAAAAGAAAATGTTTAAGTGCTCGACACAAAAAATATGGAGGTGAAATTTAATTGGGTAAAAAGAACTGCAAATGGGTTTGCCTGATGTTTTAGCAAAGCAAGGGGTGGGAAGGAGTCATCTGTTTTGGGCTTAGTTGTAATAGCTGAATTTTACTATGGAGAGTTAAGAAAGTTTACCTCTCTTGTTCTTGTAATGTTTCTATATTAATTTTAATGAAATTCTGTTATTGATAAAAAAGATTTTACCATTATATCAAGTAATGGCCCCTCTTTGATTTGGGCTATACATAGTGATATTTGTCCTTTTTAAAGAAATATTATTATGCTATGAATTTGGAGTATGCCCCCTTTTCAGAACCAACATGTGCCCAAATTACCATTCAACCTTGCGCTTTGGTTTTAGCATTTCAGCTTTCTCCACGGTTCAAATGCTGTTTGGTAATTATTGTATCGTGTGAATAGATTGATGTTGACAGCAAGGATTTAAAATTCATAAACATAATATGTAAAGCATATTCAAATGAGACTTTAAAAATGAAATCAAACATATAAAACATTTTCAAGCATATAAAACCCATAATCTCTTTTTTTTTCTCAATTGCATCAAGTAGCTAATGCGACATATTACATTCCTAATTCTATGAGCCGCCTTTGTGCCACGCCCCTCGAGGCAAAACCCAAACAAGTCCATGTTAGGGTCTTAAATTCTTAGCTTTCACACAAAAAATAATGGTTTTATAGTTTTAATTCTTTTAAGAAGATATTTTATTAGGATGAATGAATGGACAACATTACCAAATAGTTTTAATGAATGGACAACATTAAAACTATAAAATCATTATTTCTTGTGTGAAAACTAAGAATTTAAGACCCTAACATGGACTTGTTTGGGCTGACCTTGAGGGGCATGGCATGGGGGTCCGGGGGCGGAGCCCACGGCCCAGCCGCCAGACTCAAAAATAGGAAAAAGCGGCAAATTTTCAAAAGGCGCACGCCTGGGCTAAGGCGCAAGACGCACCATGCGCATGCCTAGGTGCACTAGGCGTGCGCCTAGGACCTGGGTGAGGTGCCTACCCTAAAATGCGCCTCGCCTGTGTGCCTAGGCGCACCTTTTAAATCACTGATTTGGAATAGGTGGTTTCTTCTACTTGTAGCGTGTTTCATCATCCTTTCATAGTCATCTGATCTGGGGTATTTCTTATTTTTTAGTAAGTGTGATTACTCCGTTGCCACATGTCTCCATGTGTTTTATATTCAATATCGATGGGTTTATGCTTCGACTATGGACATTAAGTGTACATAGATTATAAATTGTGAAGTGTGCAAATTAGAATTTGACAAGCACATGCATTATATTTGTTTTGTTCAACTTATTGTTGGATAATGCACTTGCATATCTGGAAGTTGATTAAGATAAATTTGGAAAAGGAATAGATTATGGATTTTATTCCCTTGCTCTTTGCCAGAAGATAGCAACCTGGAACTGTCTAGTATTGCAATGCTTGTGGAGCCATTACTAATCTTTGAAACTTGTTTTATGTGATTTATATGTGTAGTTGCTGCTGATGGAAATGAGCCGGTCCAGATGAAGCTGCATAAGTCCTTGAGGCTATGGACATTTTATGTGGATTTGGAGGAGAGCCTGGGGACGTTGGATTCCACTCGTACAGTTTATGAGCGCATACTTGATTTGAGGATAGCAACTCCACAGATTATAATCAATTATGCATTGCTTCTGGAGGTATGGACCTATCCAGTTTTCTAAGACACTAATGTGTTTTCCTAGCTTTTAATGAAAAAAAGGTGTTTCCCTAGCCTAAAGCGTGCTAATGACATATTTGCCTCTGGTCTAATATATAGCCTCATCTTAATATTTCCTGTAAGATGTAAAAGATAAGAGAAGTAGAAAATAGTAACAGCTTAGGCCATTTATTCAAATTTCAGCATCAAAATATATTTTGTTCCATATGATGAACAACATTTCTAGCAACTGGCAAAATGTCAGTCGCAACTGTAATTTTTTGTATTTGATTGTTGACAGTTGAAACCACAACTGATAGTTCATAGTTCATTACCAGTGGAATTCATCCTTATTTTTATCATTTCATCTGTATATGATTTGAACAAACAGAATAGTTTATTAGGAATTTCCTATTCCATATTATTGTTGTCATTCTGTTATGTGCTTAGTTGCACATAACAAGATGGGATGCTTCAAGGGATCCTATAGCCTCCAAATAAGTTCAAGCAACGTTTGTAATAGCAATGATCGTTTCCAATAAAAAAATGTAATAGTATTGGGTGGAAAATCATGCTGCCAATTCATTAATCAAATGGGCTTAAATATCCTATTACAATCAAACTTCACTCGCACGACCCTACAAAATAGCAAACTAATTAATTGACTCTAATAGACCCTTATCCCAGTAAACCGATGCCCCATACGCTCCTTACTTATCATAACTGCACACTAATCCACTGACTTTTTGACCAGCTAAGCCTAGATGGGCCCACCTGTCAGCCCAATTTAGTGGACTCTTGCATTTGGAGAACTGTAACACATTCTCAGATATTGGCCTGAGTGTAAGAGTACAAGTGAAATATTGTGCAATTTGTTTGCAAGTTGCTACTTCTTATGCACCAAACAAAAGCAAATATTCAATTCAGGTTATATGGATACTTGATCAAGGGACATATGCTTTAGATATGCCTTAGGTTGTTTTTTGTTCTTACTTTCTTTCAGTGGTTTAATAACATAATTTTTTCCTCTTGATTTCTGCAGGAACACAAGTACTTTGAAGATGCATTCAAAGTATATGAAAGAGGTGTAAAAATATTTAAGTATCCACATGTAAAGGATATATGGGTAACCTATCTCTCTAAATTTGTCAAAAGATATGGCAAAACAAAGTTGGAACGAGCAAGAGAGTTGTTTGAGAATGCTGTTGAAAAGGTGAGTGTCAGTTTTTATTCCTTCACAGTGATTTAAAAGGCGTGCCTGAGGCGTGCCTATGCGCACAGGCGAGGCATATTTTAGGGTAGGCGCCTTGCCCAGGTCCTAGGTGCAGCACTTTCAAAAGGCGTGCGCACGCCTGGTGCGCCTAGTTTTGCACTTGATGCTTGAAAATGTTTGATTTTATTTTAAAAATTTCATTTGAATACGCTTTACATGTAAGGTTTATGTATTTTGATTTTAGCTGATAGTTTTTTTTTTAAACATTAATTTTAAAATTTAAGTTTACATTTTTATTAATATTATGCTTTTTTTTATTTTGTCTTTTTTTTTTTAATTTTCTGACTTTTTTTTAGCATTTTTTTTTTGTATTTTCGCGCCTTGCTTAAAAAACACACACCTTGCCTTGCACCTTGCGCTTTTAAAACACTGTTCCTTCAGCTAGCAAATCGTTTAATCTGTCTTCTCATTTGATAGCTTGCATCTTAAGTTTTCTATTGCTGAAAGTGTGTTTGCAGTTACTTGTGGAGATTCATGCTAGTGCTCTCTAGTTCTTTTGTTGATTACCATGTTACCGTGTTCTTTTTTCTGCCATTAGCAATGTGCTCTTATGTTGATTCTGTTCCTTGTTTTATTGCTTGTTGAATTGTGACTCTCTATTAGGCACCTGGTGAAGATGTGAAACCACTATATCTACAATATGCGAAACTCGAGGAGGATTATGGTCTAGTAAAACGTGCAATGAAAGTTTATGACCAAGCTGTAAAGGCTGTCCCAGACAATGAGAAAATGAGCATGTATGAAATTTACATAGCCCGTGCCACCGAGATTTTTGGTGTTCCAAAGACAAGGGAGATATATGAGGTTGGTTTTCTTCTGGCCTCTTTTAATTGACAGAAGTGTCTTTTCTACGCTATTATTGCATTTGGTTTTCTCATGAAAATGAACAGATTTAGTTTCCTGCAAGATTTTAAACTTGCTACAGACCTACAGTTAATTGACTTTTCTGGAAACATTTTATTCGTTATGATCATCTCATGAGTTTGTGTAGGGTATGAATTTCATCCTATTCTATATATGGGTTAGGCTCTTTGTATTTTTGTTCTCATTGTTTACCTGACTAGCCAACCCATATTGTTTGGTCAAGGCTTTATTGAACTGAATCAACTTCCCGAGATTTTCCTGATAGTTTTAAATACTCAGAGAAATAGTGATGGAAAACACAACATATGAATTTGACCATACAATGGGTGGGAAGGGAGGCTAATGCACTTGCTGACTATCTAGCTAAGCAAGGAGTAACCAGGGATAAGTTGTATTGGGCCCACTTGTAATTTTTATGCTGTTTTTGTTCTAAAGAGGAGGCTGCACCTCGCACCTCCCCTTGGGTAATGAATTATTAATGCACCTCACACCTCTAGCCTCTTCCTGCAACCAAAGAAAAGAGGCAGGGTAATGTGGAAAATAACAAGAGCAGCCGTCCTTTGGTCGATTTGGGAAGAGATAATAGGATTTTCCAAGGACAAGAAAAATCCAAAGAAGCACTCGTTGAGGCCATTACCATCAAGATTCTTCATTGCTTGAAAGTGCAGCAACTTTTCAAGGACTTATCCTTAGCTGACTTAATTAGAAATTGGAGCTCTATAGTTGTCTCCTCTCCTTTTTCCCTTGTAATTCAAGAGGTTTTGTTACCACCGTCTCAGTTCAGGGTGAAATTAAACTTTGATAGAAGCTCATCAGGTAATCCAGGCCCATCGGGAGTTCGAGTGTCTTCAGAAATGAGGAAGGAAGAGTTTTGGCCCTTTACTCGGGCGGGGTGGGAGATTCTTTGAGGGCAGAAGTCATGGCCTTACTTCTGAAATTGGCAAAACAATGGGGTGTGCAACACTTAGAAGTGGAAGGAGACTCTAAGCTGGTAATAGGGTGGATGCAATCTAGAAACTTGGGAGTATGGTCACTTAGACAGCCTCTAAAAGAGGTTATTAGCTTAGCAAGGGAACTTGAGGTGCAATTTAATTGGGTAAGAAGGTCAGCAAATGGAATGATTGACACATTAGCTAAGCAAGGAGTTATTAGGGAGACTTTCTTTTGGGCTTGTATGTAAGACTTTTATTCTGATTTTCCGCCCATCCTTTGGGTGGTGATAACTGTACTCTCTTTTTAATATCTTTAATGAAAATTGCCATGTCTTATAAAAAAAACACTTTTACCTATAAAAAAAATACAACAGATAATAAGAGCTACCTGTAATTTATATCAATTGTAATGGAAAATATGAGCTATTAAAGTTACTACTTGTGGAATGCTATATATTTATGAATTCTGCTAGAAGCAACACAACATTGCTACCTTGCTAAATTACTGCATAATGGGCCAGATACGTTTCCTTCCTTTCTTCCTTTTTAGAAATAAAATAAAATAAAATAAAATATCATGATTTTTAAAAGAAATAGTTTTTAGAAGGCGGTTTTCATCTTTCTTTGCTTTGGGCTTTCTTCTTTATCAAACAACCAAGTTAGTGTTGCATTATTAGATTATTTCTTCTGTCCTGACTTACATGTTGTGAGCAAACCAAGGAACAACAATATCTCTTTTGATGCCATAGTTTGCCCTATGTCTCCAGTCCACCTTGGTCCTCCTGTTATTTGATGCTTGGCAAACCAGAAAAATCAGATGGAATGGGAGAAGACAATGGTTTTGAGCTTGACTCTGATCTTGGTCATGCTAGAAATGCTCTGGGACATGATTGGCTCTTCCAACATCATCCCTGACTGACAGGTTTTCAGTACATGGAGTCCATTCTCTTCATTTTAGATTAATATGGTGTCTTGAGTTAGTAATAACAGGAAACACAATTAAAAGAGTTTGAACCTTAGAGCTTAGAAATCTTGAAATTTGCATAACATAATCTAGATTCTTGAACCTCTTTCAACCTAGGGATTCTGGAGTATCTTACAGCTCAAGAAAGTCTGAAAGTTAACTGCACCTCCCCTTTCTCTAGCTGAAGATCAATGAAGCATTGGACCACTGTTGCAGACTCAGATTAGACTGAAGGTTGGAGATCTTAAGTTTTAATATTTTAATCAAGGGGTGCCTGACATTTCTTCTAAGTCGTAATTGTACCATTCTTGCCCCATAATTGATAAAACTCTGGTTACCAGTAAAAAACATATAACTTATATTGTTGTAAGCTTATTTTGATATAAACAACTTAACAGATAATCTGAAACCATTCGTTCTTTCTAACTTTTAAATTTGACATTTTTTTTTTTTTAATTTGTGCAAATTGATGGACCATTTGACCCATGACCAAATAGCCAAAACAATTTTGTCTGGTGCAAGTCTGACAATATTGTTGTCAAGTGTCAACCATGGATTTTCCTTAGCAGATTGGTATGGATCTGGTCGTATGGACCCAACTAAAACTTGGATTAATAATTGGACCTGGTAAGCCCTGTAACAAGGTGATCTGGTCGAGGTCTGACTAGTACAATGTCCCAAGTTTTGTGCCTTTTCTTCTATCACATTATTAACTTCACAAGCGGAGAAATTCTTGTTTTCCTCAGTACCTGTTTGTGAAGGCCTTCAGGCCATGTCTTCTGGCTTTGGGAGGTTGAGCCCACTTGGAACACTTATAAGCTATGCTTTTTAAAAAAATGTGGAGAGCCAACTTCTGTCATCGTACAGCCATTTAAGCAAGTTCTCTAGACAAACCTATTTCAGTAGCTTCTTCAAGGCAGCTAATTCATAGCTGCTATGTGTGTCTGTGTGTGTTTAGTACAAACAAATGTTGAAGGGTTGTTTAGTACAAATTGGATGAGATGCACCACAAAGAGACAAAAAAATATTATGGCAATTGGCAATGTGTGAGGGGTGCTTTGCTATGGGGGTTTTGGGTGAAAGGAATGCCAGAATTTTTGAGAAGGCTAGAGGAGTGTTGGATTTGCTTGAGCTCAGTATGATAGGAGCAGCTCATTGGGCATTGGTATGTGATGAATTTAAAGGTGTCACCCTAAATGACCTGTTAAGAGGATGGAAAGTTATTGGTGATTTTCAGGAGAGGAACCCCTATGCAGCATGCACAAACAGTAGCTAATATCAAACTCAACTTTGAAGGTTGCAACAACCTTAGGAATCCAGGAGACTCCAGGTATTGGTGGTGTAGTCAGGGATCATAATGGAAACATTATACTCAGCTATTCTGGTCCTATTGGTGTTGCAAATTCTCTAAGGGCTGAACTGAAAATGTTGATTCAAGGGCTGGAATTGATGGGTAGGAAAGATTTGAGAAATACGGAGGTTGAAGGTGGCTGTCAAACTATAATCTCTTGGATGAGAAAACATGGCATGATACCATGGAAAATCAGACTATTGGTGAGAGAGAGGCACAATTCTTGGGTTCCTTGTTGAATAGCTCATTCAGCTGGGCGCCTAGGACTGCTAATGGACTAGCTGATTCTCTACAACTCTAACTAGGGCAGGGGTAGCCAAAAATTAGCTTGTTTGGGGTTGTCCAAGACCAGGTTGTAATTTCTTTAGAGCAGTGGAGCAGCTTTTTTAATGAAATTTTACTGTTGCTTATCATTTTCTTTTTGAAACACAATAGCATTCTATTGAAAAATGATAGTGCGACAAATCATCCAGTTTATTTATTGTTGTTAGCAGATGGCAAAGGTGCTGCTGCAACTTTTTATTGCTTCCAAGCATGGATATGTATCTATATTCTATTTATTTGCTTATCATTATATCTGGATGCATGCATTGAGAAGCATTTTTAGCAATTAAGGAATGTTTGAGTTTCGGCTCTTTTGCATCTTTTCTGTTATTATCTTGGTTTTGTTTGCTATGCATGTACAAGTCTGCTGTACTTTATGTGGTATGAAGATGGATGCCTGTCTTACTTGTGTACCCCGTCACTGCATTTTGCAGCAAGCCATAGAATCTGGTCTCCCACACAAAGATGTTAAGACCATGTGCATGAAGTATGCTGAGCTAGAGAAGAGCTTGGGAGAAATTGATCGTGCTCGTGCAATATATGTATACACTTCTCAGCTTGCAGATCCACGATCTGATGGTGATTTCTGGAACAAATGGCATGAGTTTGAGGTGCAACATGGAAATGAAGACACCTTCCGAGAAATGCTCCGTATCAAGCGTACTGTTTCTGCCACTTATAGTCAGGTTAGTCTATTTCTTTTCTTTTTTTTAAATAGTAAGATACTTTATTGATAATGAAAAGTATATTTCTCCACTCCTGCACAACAAGATACTCTTCTTTGGGGCTTGTAAAAAAGAGTAAAAGGATATGGGACACCTCCAAACAAGTCTGCACTGCCAACCATGAGATCAATCTGCCCCATAGATCCTTAGCTACTGAGTCCTCCAAGCTGACTTCATCAAGCATTTCTTTCTAACCATATGTTCAAACAACTGCTAAGGGAAGCAACCTCCCTACCCACACACATACTTTTCTCCTTCCTGCTCAAACCTTTGACCTGTCAACACTATAAGAGGTCTTTTATTCTATAATTGCTGGAAAATATCCTTGAACTTCAAAAATTGGCATTACTGCCCAGGGTGTGAATAAATAAATCATCCACTTGATTCCATAATCCATACAATCACCACACGCATGCAAGTTATATTGTCCACCAACCTATCCCTTTTTAGCAGATTATCCACCATTTACCCAAAGTGTCCAAGTTAAGAAGATGTTTATTATTATTATTATTATTTGGGGTGGGGGCTGTATGCCAAACTCTCGAGCTTGGGAACCAACTGGATGAACTAGCTTGTAATGGAAAGATTTGATAGTGAACAAGCCAGACTTGTCCCTCAACCACTTTCGTTGAATTAATTTTCTGCATTAGCTCCAATAGTGGACTACCTCCCAATCTTTTTTTTTTTTTTTTTTTTTTTTTATAAATAACAAGGAATTTCATTAAGATTAAAGAAGAAATATACATACAAACAGAGGGAGATAAGCCATCTTAACTCCTCTGCAATCAGCAAAACAAAAATACAAGATTAAATCTGGGCCCAAAACAAAGAATCCGTAATCACCCCTTGCTTTGCTAGCCCATCCGCAAATGAGTTGGCAGATCTCTTCACCCAACTGAATTTTATCTCAATATCTTTTGCCAGCCATTTAAATTTTTTCCTCTCATTGCTGTAATTCCACATAGTAGTCTTGTCTTCCTTTAGCCATCTTACCATACCACCACCTCCAGTCCCCTTCAATTATCAGCCTCCTAATCTTTCAGATTCCTCCCGACTATGTAGTTCCAGGCACGTGATCATTGTGAGGAACAAAGATATGAGCAACAAGGCCCTCTTTGTTTTGAGCTAACTTATTTATGATTGGGTAGATTTTCTTCATTGGTGATGCCTCAAAATATCACCTTAGAACCATTTCCCACCTCATAGTTGATGCCTCAAATGTACTCTTGGTAAGATTTTTGTATGCCTCTCCTCAAGGCACAGCCATATTTGGAGCAGATTACCCACCTCTAGAGACTATTCAGCTGCTCATTAAATCTCTAATGCCATTTACCCTTAGGCCAGGTTGAACATTTTCAGCTTTCTCACATCTAAAACCCCATTTTCTCTAGGTGTGCGCACCTTGCTCCAGTTTACAAACTGTTATTTAAACTCCTCCTTGCACCCCTTCTACAAGAAATCCTGCATTCCTTTTTGAGGTTCCACCAGCCACACTATAAGGCATTGGGAATAAAGACAAGTTATGTTGGAAGGGTAGGGTAACACACTCCTAATAAGGGCGAGCCCATTCCCTTTCGACAAGTATTTTGTCTGCCAAGCCACTAATCTTTTATCAAACCTCTCTACCACTGGTCTCATATTGACTTAGATGTGTAACTCTCCCCCATGGTAGCTCTAAATATTCAGTAGGGAACTTGCCAATATTGCATCCTAATGCATCCACCAACTTTTCTGGGTAAGGTCCATCCTCCACAACCATGAGTTCACTTGTGCATGTTAACTTGAAGTTGATAGACCACTTCAGCCCATCTCAAAATGAAGTTAAGGTGCACAATTTTGAGATGCATTATATAAAAATAGGGTGTCACCTGCAAACTGGAGAAGGGAAACTTTTTGTGCTTTCACCCACTTGGTTACTTCTGTAAACCACCATCTACACTTTACAGCCCTTGGAAGCATCCTGCCTAACAGCTTAAGGCCTCTGTGACAAAAAAAAAAAATAAATAAATAAACAAAAAAGGAGGACAGGGGATCTCCTTGTACTAGAGATATCTCCCTTGAGAATTTCCATTTATGAGGGCTGAGAAGCAAGCAGTGGGAAATATAAACCTTTACCTAACTCCATTTGGACCCAAAGTTGAACCATTTCAACATGTAGTCAAGGAAGCTACAATTCATGGATTGCTTCGGTGCTTCCTAACAGTCAGGTTTTTTGGATAGAAAGATCTTTAGTTTCAGGTGTTTGGGGGGGGGCATGTGCAATGAATATATTTTCCTTCAGATTTTCTAGATTTTGAATGCATTCATGGGAAAATGTTACGTTGGGTGTGGAATTCATCATTTGATAGTGATGTCTATCTAGATGTGCTAGGTGAATGATGAAGACAATTGGGTGTCACGACCACATACATTTAGACCTCTGTGGTTTATCTAAGCTTTGTTTCAGGGACAAAATAGTGGATCAGACAATTGAGGTCCTTCTGTCTTGTTGGTTGATGTGGAGATTTATGTAGGTTCTGGTGATTGGGTTGTTTTGATTCCCTGAAAGCATGTTATGTCTTGTTCTCTCTTTTCCAAGTTTTTTCTCTATTGTAATTAGAGGATAAACTAATCTCTTACCTCGTTTTTCTTTCTTTTTTTGCAGACACATTTTATCCTTCCTGAGTACTTGATGCAAAAGGATCAAAAGCTTAGCCTTGAGGAAACTGTTGACACATTGAAGCGAGCTGGTGTTCCTGAAGATGAAATGGCTGCTTTAGAAAAGCAGTTAGCCCCTGCTGAAGCTAATGCACCTGGTAAAGATAGTAATAGAAAACTGGGCTTTGTGAGTGCAGGAGTAGAATCACAACCTGGGGTCATCCATACACCTGATGGAGGCAGGAAGGTAACTGCAAATAGCGAGGACATTGAGTTGCCAGAGGAGAGTGATTCTGAGGATGATGAAAAAGTTGAAATTGCCCAGAAAGACGTTCCGGCTGCAGTTTTTGGTGATTTGGCAAAAAAAGTGGAGACTGATAATGATGCCAAAGATAAAGAAAGTGAAGGTCATCTTGGTGCCCTTGAAAGAATAAAGAGGCAAAGACGGGCTTAGTTTCCATGTTGTATGATGAAAGTAAGATTAATCACGAAGTTTTGACTCTGTATCCTAAGCTAACCAGCTTTATCAGTTTGAGCTGCCTGTTTGTAGTTCTATCACATTGTTGTTCAAGGTGTAAATATTCGGAAGCTTCGTCTGTACATATGAAGCTTTTTCACCTTCTTTGCAGAATTAATGAAAATGGTATAGTAATTTAGGTTTGCATTGTGTAGGATTATGGATGCTCCAAGTGTTATTGTTTCGTCATTTTTCCATTTCTGTAAACTTGTTATCTTTGACTTTCAGGGGCTGTTTTTGTTAGATAGGTAATACAGAATCTTTCCTTTGAGAACTGAAGTGGATGTGGAGCAGCAGCAGTTGTACATCTTCTTGGTCTCCTCCAGCCACTGTTGTAAAGTTTAGTTCTCATGGGGTTTTATTAGTCATAATATTGCCACCTATGGAGTGAATGAGTGATTGCCAGGGATCATTTGGGCTCGTCTCTTGCTGCTTGTTTTGGGTCGTGTCATGCGGTATCTCCTATCCAAGCGGAAGCCCTTGCTATCTGCAGGCCTTACTTGCTCTTAGGTGCGGCTTCCCTCGTGTGATCATTGAATCAGATTGCAAAGTTATTGGGTATTTGGATAGGGATCTGGTACTAACATAACACTACCAACCGTAACCCAACAAGCCACTGCAGCCTCACATTGGAACCATCTTACTTGTCATTCATGTGGGTGATGTTTCCGGTGTACGGCTCCAATGACCAGTTGGAACGTTGTTGGCACTGTGTGTTGGTAGCTGATCCGAACTCAAAGTTATTATCAGCTGCATTAGAGCCAAGACTTTAGTATTTCCCCTGAATGTCTCTGTTTGTGGCAGGAGATTTTCCCTAGATCTCATCAGATTGAACCAACTGAGATGGTTAAGTAGGAGCATCCCTGGCGGAGCTGGCCAAAAGCAAACTATGATGCTAGCTGCTATGAGAATAATTCTAGTTGGGTGGGAAATGAGGATTGCATGTGTCGCGCGAAATCTCAAGTTTATAGGAGCAAGAAGAGTTCATGTTCGGTGGCAATCTATTTTTGATGTTGAAACCCTATCTTTCAGGTTGGGCTGCTTGGAGGTCTTGGCTCTGGCCTCTGGAGACTTGCATTTGAAGACGAATTATTGAGTTTGACTAGGTGCAACTTGAAAGCCATCCCAGCGATCTCCGAACAACATTTCCCTCCATTCTTTCTACGTGGGTTTGATATTGTAGCCTTCGTCATAAACTCATTCCCAAGGTATCTGAGTATCTCTCAGCATTTGCAAGGTAATAAGCAAGACCATTTGCTCAATTTGACATTCCTTGTTGTAAGGAATTCTCCTTTTTGCTGTTAAAAATTCAGTGTTAATAGGGGCATTTTAACTGTAAAAAGGAGATACATTTTTAAAATAAGGAATGCCAAATGTAGCATAAATTTGGGAGTGCTTAAAAAATAAGTGCTTATTCAAATAAACATTTGTTTTGGGCCGGACTATATCAATAAGTGTTTTTTTGCGTTTGGGAAATAAGCTCATATAAGTGCTTATTTTCAGGAATATGCACTTATTCAAGAAGCCCAAATTTGGGCTTGTTTTTTCAAAATAGTCAAAGTTTTTCCTGTTTTTAAGTGCTTATTTCCTTTTTGGCCTGTCTTGGCCCGCCACACCATTTTGATAATACCTATACTATCTCTGTTCTAAATAAGTTATTTTTCACCAAACACTCATGAGTGCTTATTACAATAAGCACTTATTTTTTTCAAATAAGCACTCCCAAACTCCGCTTAACTCACTTTTCTTTTCTGTCTAGTTTAACCCATTCTAGCAAACCTTCTATGAAGACTTGTATCCTTTAATTATGAGTGTGCAAAGTCGTCTTTCCTTACGCCCCCCCGCCAAAAAAAAAAAAAAGATTATATATCATAATATGTTAAAAGGAAAAACCTATGATGCTGGAAGTACATAATACTGGAAGGACTTCGATCCAACACCCCTCCCTCCCGAATTTGATGAAAAATTACCTGGTTGGTTACTACTTTTATGGTATTGGTTGATTAGTTACAAGTTTTTCTGGTATCATAGTTGAACCCTATGTTAAATATTTATTTTTTGGTGAAAAAATGTTACTTCTTTACATTTATATTATATGTAATATGAAATATGATAATATGATAAGTCATTTATAATAGGGGCCTGTTTTATGAGGGCTGAGGTGAAGATCCAGTTAAACTGGTTCGGTTGGTTTGAAAGTTTGAAGCACTTCAAATACGCTATATAAAGAGGTTGAGTCAAGATCTGCTCCTGACCTTATAGCATGTCTTGACCGCACACCAGGAACATCTCCATTACTTGTACTTTTTATTCATGGGAATATATTCCCAATACAAAGTGGGATGTGGCTGTGAGGAGCAGATCGCATTTCAAGCAAGATAGCTATAAAAAATGACAAATAGATTGTCAAATTGGGTTAATCCAGAATGTTTGCCAAGAGTAAAGATCTCCTACCAACAAAACACGTCCCAACACCCTACCAACATGATCTGATAGTGCACATCTCATACACGTCCCAACACCCTACCATATTGAAACGTGTTTTATTGGGAAGAGATCCAGACCTGTTTACCAAACAAAGTCAAGGATCTACCCCTCACAGACCGCTACTCACACCAACTTCACGTGTCCAAGCCGTACATCGGGAACATCTTCCGTATTTTGTGTTATATTTCACGGAGAGATGTTCCGGTTCAGAGTTCTGCCTCCCCAACGTGCACTAAGTTTTAAGGCCGGACCGACCCGATCTATAATCCCCTCTCCAGAGGAAAAAGGGCAAAAACATGGGCCAGGTCCGGCTTAATTGGTCAGACCACCCATCATCGGCTTCCTTTAAAAGGCTTCCGTCTAAGCTCGAGGCTGTGTGTGCTCCTTTTGGGGTTTCTTGTGCAAAGGGAAAACTCATATTTAGTTGCAAAGAGTCATCTTAGATCGATTTTTCTCCACTCGGCGAAGCTGCGATCACGTCGTCTCCCGTTTTCGACTCAATCTGAAAAATGAACGTAAGTTTCTAAATAGAATTTGTTACTTTTCCAATTCCTTCCTCCCTCATTCTCTTCTTCCATTGCAGTCGATAGATGCAACTATCGCGGAAAAAGGTTTAATGAGCTCTGAAATGGGATCTGAAAGGACACTGTAAGTTTTCAATATTATTTAATTTTCATCTTCTGTCTCTTTCCGATGCTGAGGTTAGGAAACTTGTCCCAGAGTCGTCCAGAAACTAAGTGCTTATTTCTTTTATCATGAAATTTGATTGTCGTACTGACTTTGGCCACTAAATCATAATTTATTTCGTTTAATTTTATGGGCTTCACCAAGGGTAATTGTACTTGGAGGTTAAATCCTTAGCATTTGATGAGAATGTTGATTTGAATTTTTTTTTTTAATTCAGTAAATTTATGTCTGACGTTTACCCAAAAAAAAAAGAGTAAATTTGTGTATGATAAAAAAAGGAAATATTGAGAAGTACGAGGGTGACCTGTAAACTTATAATCGAGTTGAGCTTATGTGCAGGTACCCGTATGTCACTGGAACCTCGGTAATAGGCATCAAGTACAAAGACGGAATTCTCATGGCTGCCGATATGGGAGGTCAATTACTTAAGCCATATCTATAGTTGTCCGCCATTTATTTGTTGTTTAACTCCCTTGCCCTTAGTTAGTTAGTATGAACAGATGGGATTTTTAGTTTTCTAAAATGACTTCCATGGTTGTTTTGATGAGCGAATTGTAGTACTAGAACATATGAAAACATTTTTAACCTGCAAGATAAAATGCTTCATCTGTATTTGTTTTTGTGGTATCAACGGAAACACTTAGATGACGGATGGTATGAGACTCTACTTGTTTCTAGTTAATTGTTGTTATAGTAGTGTTTTTGTTATGCCATCCGTTTGGCCATCTCTTGTGTAGATGGTATAAGATTATCCCTAAGTTGATGCCATATTTTTTATTCAAGCATAATGATGCATGTATGGCTATATTAACTTTACACAGTATATTGGTGAGCAGTGGGCCAGTGACACACATGGTGCTTACTTGTGTAAATTGAAAATTGATTGGAGAAATTGCTCCTTATTCTTGCTTACTGACCTATGAAATGTTGCAAACGTGATTTTGTCAGCCATGTTCAATTAGTAGCTATTTAACACTCTTGTCATGATTAGAGGATATATATGAAGAGTAATAATTTAGTCATTACTACATGGTTTCTGCTAGTTCGTAAGCTTGTGTCTGCCCCTCTACTTCTTCATCTATACAATCAGTGATTAAGAATTATGCTTATGCCCCTGTATCTTCTTAGGGGGCAATGAAATTCAAATTACTGGTGGAGTTGATTTTGTGTGAGAAAAATGGAATTACAATAGTTATTTCATTTACTTGATAACATCTAATTCTCCCTTCATAAGTATTTTGCTACATCATCTGTAGTGCCCTTTTACCTGCTGGTTTGGCTTGGTATATTGATTTTAGGACAGGCCTTAGAGATCATGGGAGTGAAGTAGCCACGCTCATAGAAAGTCCATTGCCCAATGTTGATCTCAGCTATCTGGGGTCTTGGGAGGGGTTGGCTGGGTACAGTCCTAACATTTGGCATTTTTCACACAAAGTGGCTTTTTTCTCAGAACCGAACCTGTGTTCTCACTCTTGCTTTCCAGCTCGAGATCTTCTTATCCAATTTGTGGGGTCTTGGAAATGCTATTTATCATTTTCATTTCTTGCTAATCTTTCTATGGACATGTGGAATCAATTGCCCTTATTGAATCATTTTATGGTTCTCTCTTTGGGAGTTGTTTTATACCAGTTTTCTATTCCCTTTGACAAAAGATGAAAGATCATGAGGAGTTGCATATAGGCCACCTTATGGAGCATGCGAGGAGAACTAAACTCCAGACTGTTTATTGTAATTGACTTGGTGACCACCAATGTTGCTCAATGGATTTTGACTGGATGCGAATGCAAGGGTGTCATGGTGAATTTGATTGTCAAAGGTTGGCAGATTGTTGCAATCACTATTTCACCACATTGGGATTGTGATACATTAATTACAGGGATATCAGATATGTGGAGCTGAAGTGTGATTGGTGCTCATTGGTAGGAGCTTTTAGAAGGAAGAAAGGTATGATGGTTATCATCTTTTCAGAGCTAATGGTGATTGGTGAGGATGATACATTAAAGCTTAGATAGCAACTTTGTTGCAAGCAACGCAATGGGTGAGTGGATAGTGAGGGAAACTCTTTGGGGGTTATTGGTTGAGTGCTTTCATATTCAAATGACCAATGGTCTCCTTACATTTTATCAGGGAGGCTATATGTTTTACATTTACAATTAACAGTCTGCTTTGTTGTATAATAAGAGAAACAAACATACTTGTAGATATATCTACTTAGGGAGGTTTGCATACCTAGGGATGCTTTATTTTATCTTTTACCATCAGGGTGGTTCATAGTTGCTCAGGGAGGGAGGTTTGCATGTGGTGTAATTGTATCCTATATGACAGCCCCCGCAACATTGGGTTGATATGCAAAAATTAAGTGAAAGAATTGTTCTTCATATCATGTTATGTTGTGCAAAACCCAGAAATGCAGATTCAAATGACACCCAAAAATGAAAGAAAAGTAAGCAGTGAGAACGCACAGATTTACGTGGTTTGGCTTATAGCCTCCTGCCTACGTCCCCGGGCAAAGGAGAGAAATCCACTATGAAATCAGCAATGGAGAAGAATACAGAGTTGTGCAATCAGAACCTCACTCACAAAAAATCCTAAACCCCAAATACACCAAAAGTCTCTCAACTTCTCTGACAAGACAAAGACAAAAAAGTATACAATAGAGAAAACCCCCAAAGTACATAACTTTTTGTATTTTGTTTGGAACCATAAGCTGGACATGGATTGGGTCCGTATTCAAAGTGGATTCATGAAGTGGGTCACGACAAAGAATTCAACGCACAACCATAACAAATCTACACCTTGGCTTGAATTCTCTCATGCATCACAAAATAGTAATCTCTCTCCACCTTCTCCAACAATGCCTTAATGGGCAAACTAAAATGTTGGAAACACCAATCAAGTCCAAGCAACCCTTGAGCTTGGCCATAGGAAGAGGCTTTGCTAACATTTCTAGTTGGGTTATCTAAAGTACCAATCTTCTTCACAATGATATCTCCTTATTTAACAACATCATGAACAAAATGGTACCTTACATCAATAGAATATTACTTTGAGGTGGTCTAACCTCTCTCCTTGTTCTACCTCTAGCAATAGAATATTACTCCTCTTCTTCCTCTTGTACACATTCTTCTATCTTAGTAGAAATGGGCACCTAGATTGATGTAAACTGAGGTGAGAAAGAAGAACTATGTTATAAGAGAATCGAACCACCAACTTCTAACTCCACCTTCTTTCTTGAATTTCGTTTTATCTGTATCACAAGAAATGGAAGACTCCTTCCTCGGGTGAAGCATAGTAGAGTAATCAAAAGTAACATCTTTGCTAACTATGAATTTTGGTGATTTAGGATTAGAACACCACAACTTGTATCCCTTCACACTTGAAACATAACCAAGAAATATACATTTCTTGGCCCTAGGCTCAGGCTTGCCTTCATTAACATGCATGTTGGACAACCATATATTTCTAAACTTGAATAATCAGGAGGGTTACCAAACCATACCTCTTCTAGAGTTCTATAATCAAGGCAGTAGATGGAGATCAATGTACCAAGTGGAAAGCCATATTAACTGCTTCTGCCCAAAATTCCTTGGAAAATTTGAATTTGGCCACATTTATCTTGCTCTCTCTAGTAGAGTTCTATCCATATGTTCTGCAATTCCATTCTGTTGTTGTGGTTTCTTGACAAGAGTATGATGCCTTGCAATGCCTTCATTTTTGTAGAATTCATTAAATTCATTTTCACAAAACTCTAAACCATTATATATTTTTAGCTGCTTGACCTGCTTTCCTATTTGCTTCTCAAGCAAGGTTTTTCACTATATAAAAGTCACAAATACATCATTCTTATGCTTTAGAAAATAAACCCATACCTTCTTGGAGTAGTCATCAATGATGGTAAGGAGATATCGAGCACCGCCCTTCTGTGGAACTTGTGAAGGTCCCCATAGGTCTGAGTGGACATAATCCAAAGTACCCTTTGTCTTGTGAACGGTTGTACCGAAGTTGGTTCTTTTTTGCTTCCTGAAAACACGTTTTTTTTTTTTTTGATAATTTCTTGAAAACACATGTTCACCCCCTCCATTTGCCTATCCTGCTCTAATTCTATAGGTGATATCCTCCTCAAGCTCTCCTTTTTATTAATTATTGAACCAATGTAATGGTAAAAGGTCACATTTTTTTTTAATAAATGAGTGCAATTTTATTAATCAAAGAAAGGCTGTACAATAAGCCTAAGAGGAGGCACGAGGGGTTACCTCCCCTTGGAGCTGAGCAATATGCAAATAAACACGCACTATCTTGAATTACAATTATAAGGTAGCCCAAAAGAGGTATCCCCTTGATCCATCGTGTTTAGCCAAAGAATCAACCCTTGCATTTGTCGATCTGCTAACCCCAAAAGACTGTTTCTGGATTTGTCAGCCAGCCCACTACCACCTTGGAGTCCTCAACTATCATGTTTTCCACTCAAGTTGACTAGCAACCTGTATGCCTATTGCCTTGTACCACTGGCCCACTGGTAGTATCTCAGTCTTTATAGAATCACCAATACCCACTAGTCTTGATATTAAAGATAGGATGTTGCTGTCTTTATCTCTAAGAGTCCCTCTTATGATTGAGGGCCTTGGATTGCCTTGACCGCTTTCGTCAAAATTCAATTTTTCCATTCCTTCCGGAGAGGGATTACATTCTGCTTGTAGTTTGTTTTTTGTGGACGCTGTGGATGCCATTGCTGCCCAATTTCTCCTTAAATTGTCAAAAGAGTAATCCACAAACAAGTCTGAAGATTTCAACCAAGAGGTTGTCCTTGTCATTATACACTCCTTTACTTTAGCAAGGTTTCTTTCCTTTTCTTTAAAAATTCCAGCATTTCTCTCCTCACATAAAATCCACAAGCTAGTTGCTTTGATACACTTCCACATTAGCTTCCCTCTCTTTGTCAATCTCCCAAAGGCAAATGGATTAAATAGCAAATTTACTTCAAAGGGTAAGTTCCACCTGCACCCAAATAAAAATAAAACCCAATTCCAAATATTGGCTGCAAAAAAGCAAGATTATCAACAAATGGTGATAGTCCTCACTCTTCACTTTACCCATAAAGCACCAATTTGGGGACAAGTACATATAAGATTTCTTCTTTTGCAACCGCAATATTGATTTTACCATAAAAGTCTTCCCAACATAACACAACTATTTTAGGAGGTATTGGCCTTGACCAGATTTCTTTAACAAGGAAAACCTGAGAGGAGAGTGTAGAACAGAGGGATTTAAAGAAAGATACACAAGTGGAGAAGTCAACCAGGGTTAGAGACCGAATCCTTTTATCAGGTTTAGGGGGGGTCCAAATACACAGTCTAGGAGAAACAAGAGCTCTGAAACACAAGTAGATTCATCATCCCTTAAACCTCTTCAAAACCCA